ATGGCTTGGTGGGTCAAGCTCTCCCATCCATATGGCAAGATCTTGGTTGAGCATCTTACCATGAAACCCCTCTCTTCTTTCCCCTTCCTTTGCCAGTTCTTATCCCAACAACTCATCTTCTGGTTACCAGGTTAACTGCTTGTCTCTAGCTCTTGACCTCTTCTTTTAACAACTGAGTTCTTGCATTCGTAATTTATCCATCTTCATGCTCAGTCCTTTGGTTCCCACACCGATTTCTGTCAGGTACCTTTTGTCTTAGAATCTGCCTCAGAGTCTGTATCTAATTTTGTCCACCTTAGATGCATGCACTCAATCATCTACTGGTGTCCCATTGCGGGGTGGCTTCAAGGGTACAGTCACATAGGACCCATGTTCAGAAGGTCCTTGTATTTGATTTAATGCTCTGCTGTTGACTTCTTGAAATTCTTATTTTATCTTTGAAACTATGTTTTGGAAGACTTCCCTGGTGGCTCAGAGAGTAAAGTGTCTGCCTGCAATGCCAGAGACCTGGGTTCGATCCCTAGGTCAGGAAGATCCCCTGGAGAAGGAGATAGCAATCCACTCCACTACTCGTGCCTGGAAAATCCCATGGACGGAGAAGCCTGGTTGGCTACAGTCCATGGGGTCACAAAGAGTTGGACACAACTAAGCAACTTCACTTTCTTTCTTTCTTTCTTTTGTAAGTGAAGCCCCATGGAATAATGGAGCATGAACATGATCAGAAGAGAGGCACAAACACTCTTTGAAGCCCCACGTAGTACCTAGCATTCACAATGCCCCATAAGCATACAGCGGTTCCACAATGAAGGGGAGTTCAACAAGCATAAGGTAAGGCTGCTTGGTCTATAACTAAGTAAGCACACACACTGACAGCCCAAAGAGGCCAGGCTTTCCATTCAACCCAGAAATTGCTTCAAGTGCAGAAAGGAAGCAACAGTGCTCTAAGAAACACAAATAACCTAAAACCCCAGCTTACCCTTTCTTGCTTAAGTTACTTCCCTGTGCTAGCCAACCACTTAGGCTGAAAATGATGACAGAGAAGGAAAGATTTGGGTGGGAGTAAGGAATAGCTCCCTTTCCTTTCCTTACTCATCAGAAAGGCAAGATTGGTAAAGAGTGCACAAAAAAAGTATGCATATAAAAAGTGAAATAAAAGCAGTTGACTTCATTTTGTCAGCATTTCCACAGTTCCAGTAGGAATAAACTACATATACATGTACAAACTGCAAAACGTGAATTGTGGAACTTACGTGATTTCACATACCAGTTAAGTGCTCTTATATTTCCACTTAAAACTGGCACTGCACACTATAAAGATGAATGGTAAATTCATGCCAATCCTTTAAAATTATAACTTTCTCATAATGACATTAAATAGCAGATAAAAACACCATGTCGAGAGAGAGAGACCATGAAAGAAAGGGGAAAAGCTTTATCTTTTAAGACCTTTAAGGACAATTTTCTCCTGCTTTTTTGAAGAAGGAGCCCCACATTTTCATTTTCCATTGGGCCCCACAAATATGTAGCTGGCTCCAGTTCTATGGCCTGAAGATAAAAAAGTACTGATAAAACTGACTGTCAGCCAGGCCTTTTTCAGGTGTGGCTTATTGAGGCCGTGTCATTCCCCTGTCCTGGGACTTTTAATTCAGTAGAAATTACTTGCCCCTTTGGTAATACAAATACCCGCCCCCCAAAACATAGCTCTAAATAGATAGGAAGATGGACATAAAATGATGTGGAAGGGACTTATACAAAGTCACAGGGTGTGCTAGGAATAGGGGCCTAAGCTGACTCTCATCTAGCCTTCAGATTCAATGCCATGGCCTGTCAGCACTCATCTCCACTGTGCGCATCTGAGTCTTGAACATCATTTGAAAATACCCACAAAGTCATGCATTACAACCTTTTGATCACATCCCAGCTGGGGCCCTCACAATCCCACAGGAACAGATGTAAAGCAAAAGGCTCTGTCCTTCAAGAGGTTTTGCACAGAACATTCCAAGGCCTCAGGGGGAGTCCTGTGTCTTGTTCGAGGTCAATGGGAGTCCATCAGTTGGCCAGTATATGCCTCTTTTGTAGCCTTGGTAAGAATTACATGTCTACATCTCCCCTGGCAGGTCAGAATATCTTTTCTAATCATTGTATCAAAATCATTAGAAATTCCGAAAGAAGAAGATGCTGCCCATCTTTTCCCTTGAATTTCTTAGAGAATAAGACTACACAATCAAATCGAGAAGTCTTCCACCATTGGCCAGTTCCCTACTAATCAGAAAGAAACTCTAAGCCAAAACAGACCACAACCACAAGCACCTTGCCAATTGCCTGCATACCCTTCAAATGGTCACCTCAAGTCATCTAAATGGATTTTTAGGCAAATATCTCCTAGCAGATTCTAACTGCCCACTTGCTGTTCTCCTGGGGCCTTCAATGCAGAGTGCAAGGAACCCCTGAACCTAGATTTCCTCCAGAAGCCTCACAACAGTTTTTGTTTGGTGCTGAAATGCCCTTAGCAACATGGCCTAATCCTCCAGGTATTTCTGAGCTAGTCCATGTTGCTTCTAAACCCCAAAGCTCTTCCTCTATGCACAGCTGTGTAGAAGGACAGATCCTTGAGAGGACCAAAATCTTCAGACTGTTATTACCTGGAGCCCACTGGGTTGCTCAGCCAGCACTGCAGCCTGGATGGAAGGGCCAGTTGCCTTTTTGCCAGAACAAACTTGCAGTTGCTATCTCTTCCCTTCAATCAGGCGCAGGGGCAAAGATTATCTTACAGGCCACACTGCATTGCTCTGGTCCTAACAACAATAATAGGGACCATACTTCTTCCTCTTTCCATCAAATGATCATTGTAAACACGTATTTAAAAATTTTAGGTTGCCCTTGCAAATAATCTTCACAAAAAGATTTTAGTGAAATGTAAAAAATGCTCTGATACAATGGCGACTGGGCATAAAAACAGGATGCAGGAGGTCCTGCACTTTGTAAACAGTTTACATTTAAGTAAAGAAAAAGATACAGGAAGGAAATATATCACAATGGATTTCTTTAGGTTGCTGTGACCATAGGTAATTTTGCATTTTCTAAAAGAAAATACATTTGACAGGCATGCATTACTTTTGCAATCCATAAATTATGAATATTAATAAGTGGCGAGCACTGGAACAAGCAGCAGAGGGGGAAATCTGCCCTTGCTACTTTCCATTCTCTCACCACTAAAGTTTTCCAGAGTGTGTGTGTTGGGGGGGGGGGGGGCGTGGAAGTGGAGGAACTGTTCAGCTCTTAACCCCGCCCACTGGGCTGGCCTGACCAAGGAAGACACAGCTTTAGTTTCACCATGGAAATATAACCCCTTCTGGGGTAGACGGTAGGCTGTGCTAGCCATAGGCTGGCAGCCAAAAGCATGGGGTGAGGGGCAACCCTAGAATGCCCATGGAAAATACTAAATAGAAGACTCTGCTGCCACTCTGAAATCACTGCATTAGTGATTTCTCCACCCATGGCCACTCTGCCCTTTACATTCATCAGGCAGTAGCGAATATGCCAGAGACTTGCGGGAAAGGAAGGGAATCACTATGCGCCTTGTGATCGACTGAAATACATCTATGCCATATTACTACTACTTTACCTGCTGCAGTTACCAGTAGGACTGCTATCACAGCACCATCCCCACCGATGCTACTACTACTATTATTATTAATCCTTCATGTTTGTAAACTACTTAACAGATTTCAAAGTGCCTGGCTCTGCCTGATTAAAGATGACACTGGATATGGCCTTATGGAAGCTGAGGTAGGCTGGCACTAGAGGCATTCAAGGGAACAGCTGACTGGCACTCCGAAATAGAGACAATTATCCACATACATTTTTCATCCCTCAACTGTCTGGGCTCCAGACAAATCCACCATCCCCAGCCACACCCATTCTCCTCACCTAACTCTGCTCCAACTGTCCAGAGCTAAAGAGTTTGGGCAACTTCAAGGGTTAGGGACCAGGAGTGATGGCCTTTAATTTGATCAGAGGAGGTGGATCATTCCCAAATCCCACCAGATGGGTTGGGGGAAGACCAAAGAGTGCTTTTCGAATATAAGGCCTCTGGCAACCTCTTCCACCTTCTCTCAGGAAGGCCCTGGAATGACCCAGACTCCTCCGTTTTTAGAGACTTTAAAATTTCCTGTGCCGAAGTTAATTTTTAAAAATGCCCGACTTTGACCTTAATCTCCAAAGTGTACTCGGGAATTTCTTTTCCCAATAAAAGGACTCCCTTTTCCTCAAAGCCTAGCAGTCAGCTGGTGTGAGAACCAGTGCTACACGGAGTGGGAGGCGGGGGGCGAGAATGGAGCACAGCTCAAGCCCAACCTTGAACTAGTTTCCCTTTGAGATTGCTCTCTTCACCTGGCAACCGAGGCCCCAGCAGAGCTCGGAGAGAAGAAAGTGCATTTTGGAATCCATTTTGCTTGAGATGCTGAAAGCATCGTAGCAAACTGCCCTTTGCCACTGGGGCCAAAGGGACTCGGGCAAGGACTTGACTCAGAGATGCGGTCAGCTGGGGGGAAGGTGAGGGCCAGCTCTGGTGGCAACGATCCCCGGGGCCAGCAGCCACTGGGCATGCGGTGGGTGCGCGTGGCCCACCCCGGGTGCTGCTTCCCGCATTTGGACCCGGGTCCACGGGTAAGCAGTAGTAGCAGCACTCGCCGCCAGGCCGGCTGGGTCCCCCATCTGTCTGTCCAGCTATTTATAGGCGAGATTTACGAGGATGCGGGGGAGGAATGCGGGATGACCACGAGTTTCAGAAGGTTTAATCCTAAAAGTCACACTTTTCCCAAAGCGCCCCCCACCCCGGGTTCTCCTTCCCGGAGCGGCACGGTCCCCGCGAGGGAGTGCGGGGCGCGGCGCGGTGACCGGAGGACCGGGGCCGGAGCATAGGAACCAGCTCCGGGCTGGAGACGGGGAGGGCAGGGGAAGGAGGGGCCGGGAGCGCGGCGCGGAGCGGTGCAGCTCACCTGCCAGGCTGTTGTAGCAGTCGATCTCGATGGCTTCCACCGTCTTGCTCTGCTCCTCCGAGAGGCGGCCGGGGTTGGGGGCCCCGGCTGGGGAGGCCCCGCGCGAGTCCCGTTCCCGTTCCCCGGCGGCCGGCAGCAGCCCCTTCAGCTCCAGCAACGCCCGGTGGTATTTGCCGATGGCTTCGCGGAATTTCTTATCCTTGTAGCACTGCGCCCCTTGGCTCTTGAACTCGTGCGCGCGCCGGATGAACTCGGCGGGCTCGGCCGCCGCCCCAGCCTGGCCCCGCGCCGGGGTCCCTCCGCCGCCGCCGCCAGGGACGCACAGCGGCGGCTGGGGCCGCTGCGCCTCGCCGGCCGCGGGCGGACTCGGGTTCCCCTTGGCTCCGGCCGCCGAGCCCTTCCTCTCCATTCGGCCGCCGCCCGGCGCCGCCGCGCCCTCCCGGGTTTAAACGCGGCGGGCGCCGGCCCCGCGCCTGGAGAGCTCGGCCGCGGCCGTGACACCCCGCGGCGGTCTGTCGTCCCGCACTCCCATTCTCCTCGCCAGCTGCGGGAGGCTGCGCTCTCCTCCTCCTCCTCCTCGGATTGCCTTCCCCTCCTTCCCTCCGCCCTCCCTCCCCCACTCCCGCGCCGCCCGCCCTCCGCCTCGCCCTCCTCCCCTCCCGCAACCTGCGGGCGGCGGCGACCTGGCCCCGGCGCGCTCGGGGCTAGCGGGGCCGGGGGCCGGGGGCCCGAGGGGCTTGGCGGGGATTGTCGCTGACCCGGAAGAAGCTTGGCTCGCCTGAAGGAGGGGAGGATTAGTGACAAAGACGAGCCCTTTCTTTCCCATTCAATCCAGCCCTCGGAGGCGCGCCTAGTCTGAAAGAGACGCAGGGCGGAGGGTGTGTGTGTGTGTCTGTGTGTGTGTAGGGGATGTATTGTGAGTGAATGTGTGTGTGTGTGTGGGGATGTACTGTGAGTGAATGTGTGTGTGTGTGTGGGGATGTATTGTGAGTGAGTGAGTGTGTGTGTGGGGGGATGTATTGTGAGTGAATGTGAGTGTGTGTGTAGGGATGTATTGTGAGTGAATGTGAGTGTGTGTAGGGATGTATTGTGAGTGAGTGTGTGTGTGTAGGGATGTATTGTGAGTGAGTGTGTGTGTGTAGGGATGTACTGTGAGTGAATGTGTGTGTGTGTGTAGGGATGTATTGTGAGTGAATATGTGAGTGTGTGTAGGGATGTATTGTGAGTGAGTGAGTGTGTGTGTGTAGGGATGTATTGTGAGTGAATGTGAGTATGTGTGTAGGGATGTATTGGGTGTATGTGTGTGTGTAGGGATGTATTGTGAGTGAGTGTTTGTGTGTAGGGATGTATTGTGAGTGAATGTGTGTGTGTGTGTAGGGACGTATTGTGTGTGTGCATGTGTAGGGATGTACTGTGAAAGTGTGTGGGGGGATATATTGTGTGTGTCAGTGTGTAGGGATGTATTGTGAGTGTGTGTATAAGGATGTACTGTGAGTGTGTGGTGGGGATATATTGTGTGTGTGTAGGGATGTATTGTGAGTGTGTGTGTGCATGTGTAGAGATGTACTGTGAGTGTGTGTGTGGTATATTGTGAGTGTGTGTGTGTGTGTGTAGGGATGTATTGTCAGTGTGTGTGTGTGTGTGTAGGGATGTACTGTGAGTGAATGTGTGTGTGTGTGTGGGGATGTACTGTGAGTGAAAGTGTGTGTGTGTAGGGATGTATTGTGAGTGAATGTGTGTGTGTGTAGGGATGTATTGTGAGTGTGTGTGTGCATGTGTAGAGATGTACTGTGAGTGTGTGTGGTATATTGTGAGTGTGTGTGTGTGGGGGGGATGTATTGTGAGTGAGTGTGTGTGTGTGTGTGTTTGTAGGGATGGGGGACCCCAGGCTGTGAAGCACATGCAGACTCACCCTCAATAGATTTCTTAAAAACTAAAAGGACCGCTGCGGCAGGAAGCAAGGGACATAGGCACCAGCTGCAGCACCTGTTTCTTTGCAGTAAGAACCAGGAGCCGTGTTAATACTTGTGCGTTAATAATTTGAAGGTGGCAAGGCCTCTTTTCCTGTGGGTACAGGTTGTCACTGAGATATGTCCCTGTATGTGGCCACCCAGGTGCCCAGAACACAGTGGGCACTTCACCCTGTAGGGCGTTGTGTGTTCTGAGAGCCGCCGTGTGCTGGCGCCTGGGTGTGCAGGCAGTTGTGCAGAATGAATCACAGACATCAGAGATGGAAAACACCTGTTCCTGTTGGTCATCAAGCCTGGGCATGTGTCCTAGTTTCCATTTACAGGACAGTTCTGCCCTGCCTCAGAAGGTTCCATCCCTTACTTCATTCATTCTTTCAGACTGCCCTGGCTGGCTGCTGGGGATTTGCTGAGGTCAAGGGGCAAAGATAATCCAGGAAGGGACTGTCCTGCTCTCTAACTAACTCTCAGTCTACTGGAGGAGATAAACCACCCACCCGTATACTCACTCTGCCAGGTAGAAATTGGTAAATGTCGCCAGAAGGAAAAGAAAGTCCTGTGGAGCCCCAAGGAAGGGAAACTTTGTGCAGGAAACATTTGAGGCCTTGAAGGATGGGTAAGATCTGATCCTGAGGAAATAGAAGAAAATGACATCTCAACCAGAGTGAGGAAACAGCAGAGGTCCTGATGTTCGGAATCTTAGGGATGTTTACGGCATTAGTGGTTTGAGTTTAATGGTCTAAACAGAAGTAACTGAAAATGATTGGGTTAGATTATGGAAGCATTTGAAGGGGTTGCATCTGATTTTGTAAACAGAGGAGAAGGTGGCCTGTTTTTTTAGTGCTCCTACCTCCTTTATGATGCTGAGAAAAAGATGTATGTATTTTACATCATTGGCTTTTGAAGCACAGTTTCCAGACCTGCAGCATCAGTGTCACCTGGAAAATAGAGATGCTGTTTCTAGGGTCCCACTCCAGACCTACTAAAATCAGAAACTCTAGGCATGGGGATCCGGCAACCTGTATTTTGATCCCCCACTCCCACCTTGATTCAGATGCACAGTCAAGTTTGAAGACTCCGGCTCCAAAACCTGACTACTCAAAGTAGAGGCCTTGGGCCAATAGCATCAGCATCACTTTGGAGCCTGTTAGAGATGAAGAATCTGCAAAATCCCAGATCTGCTGACCCAGATCTATTCTCAAGATCACCAGGTGATTCATATGCTTATGAAGAGTGTGAAAAGCCCTGCTCTGGAGGATTTGCAAAGTACAAAGAACCCGCCCCCCACTCTATACTGTCACCAGGTATATTCTTTGTTAATATTTCGATATGATTCCTCTCTGTTTTTTTCTAAGCATCTATATTTGTACAAAGTGCTCTTTTAACAAACATGAGTGGTATGAGTTGATATATACAGTTTCCTGCCCTTTTTACTTTACATTATATGTAATTAAATAGGTTTTTAAAGTCTTGTTTTTAATGGTTTCATAATATTCCTTTTGTGTTTGTAGTATAGTGTATTTGATCATTTTTCTGTGGTCAGATAGATTGATTCCAAGTGTTTGCTATTATAAAGAACACTGAGATAATAAAAATAACAGATACCACTTATAACAATCCAGTGGAATAGGTTATTATCCCTATTTTAGACACCAGGTCACAGAGACTTGCCCAAGATCACACTGCTGATAAATAGAACTGGGGGACTTCCCTGGTGGTCCAGTGGCTAAGACTCCTCGCTTCCAAAGTGAGAGGCTGGGGTTGGGTCCCTCGTCAGGGAACTAGATGCCCAATGCTGCAACTAAGACCCAGCACAGACAAATAAATAAATAAAAAGTTTAAAAAAAGAAGTCGAGCTGGCATTTAAATCCAAGCAATCTGGCTTTAGTATCTATGCTCTTGAGTAACTCTATTCATACTTAGTTTTTGTCCTAATTTGTATTTCTTCACAAGAAATTATGTTAATATCTAAAAATGTCTTGAAACATACTTTGAATTTGCTTTTTAGAAAGATTGTAGTACTTGACCTCTCACCAGCAACATGCTAGTTTCCCAACATACTTGCCAACATGAAGGATTAAACTTTAAAAAATATTTTCTAATTTGATACATAAGAGCTGTGTGTTGAATGAACTGGGGTATCACTAATTTCAAGGGTGAACATTTTTCACGTGTTAGTTGCCATTTATATAGTACTGAGGGTTTTTATATGGACACAGCCTTAATGTACTAAATTATACCTTATATATTACAGCACCTTACTTTTCTAAGTGCTTGAACATCTTTAATCTTATCTAATCCTCCTCGCAGCCCCAGAGAAGGAAAATGATTCTCTACTCACACACTGAGTTTGTAGTAGTTTCTGACCAGTGAAAGATCATACTAGTTTAGTGGTTAAGATTTGGACTTAGACAGGTATAGGTTGGAATTCTATCTTTGCTGCTTCCTGGGCAAGTTATTCAACTTCTGAAAACTTCAAATATCCTTATTCATTAAATAGGGATTCTGTTTACTTCATAGGATTGTGGTGAAGTACATTGTAAGTACTCAACAGATTATAACTTTAGTTATGAGTCATTAAATTCCATCATGATTAGATTCCATAATAAATATGGCAGATTCAGTCCATATTTGCTGACCCCTGGCCCTTTTCACTTTGCAGTATTGTGTCAGGTAGAGCAAAGATAAGAAATTGGTAGTTGTGTACTCTGAGTTGTTTTTTTTTAATTTTTTAAAATTGAAAAAGTGAAAGTGTTAGTCACTCAGTCATGTCCAACTCTTTGCAACCCCATGGACTATAGCACACCAGGCTCCTCTGTCCATGGGATTCTCCAGGCAAGAATACCAGAGGGGGTTGCTATTCTGTTTTCCAGATCTTCCCAACCTAGGGATTGAACCTGGGTCTCTTGCATCGCAGGCATATTCTTTACTACCAGGGAAGCCCCTTTTAAATTGAAGTACAGTTGATTTACAATGTTATGCCAATATCTACTGTATAGCAGAGTGACTGTACACATGTATGCATTATTTTCTTGGTATTCTTTCCCATGATGGTTTATCACAGGATATTGAATAAGTTCTGTGTGCTGTATATATTTTAAACTTCCTACTTAGGTAGGAAGAGCTACTGAAGGCAAATAGTAGATGGAGATCCAAGCCTGGGGTTTGGTTACTGTCAGCAATAAGGTATGAATTTGATCATGATAGTCACAATATTTAAATGTGAGAAGTATGTGCCCAATTGTTGTTTGTTTTTACTGTGTCCTGGCTTAATGGTCCAACATCTCATTCTTCAGTGTTAGGTTTGAGACAGAGCTGCAAGAGACATGTAATACACATGGTAACTATTCTGTGTAGGAAACAGCTCAACATAAGAGCTTCAGACTAAATTGGATGAAGGAGAGCATGAGTGAGGAAGGGAGGGAATATTATGGGCGGGGGG